TTCATGGGGGAGCGGGAAGAGGGGCGAGGAGGAGCTGATACCAAGTAGAAAGCAAATGTTTTGAGAATGATGATGGCAGCATATGTACAAATGTGCTTGACGCAATGTATGAATGTATGGATTGTGATAAGAGTTGTACGAGCCCCCAATAAAATGATTAAAAAAAAACACGATTAATAGAATTTCAAGTGTAAGCTAATTAAATTTTAAACCTTAAGTCTAATTTACTTTCAACATTAGTATTTCTGAGCCCCTGTCATGTTTCAGTTCTAATGGCTTATTAACCTGTGATATGCCGATTAAACAACTTCACTTGTTTAAAGAGGGCTTGAAGCGCTTACTGATAAAGATCAAAGACTACAGCTTTCATTATGGGGTACACCTCAATTAAAAAGCCAAATTCCCTGCTCTTGAGTCCTTTCCAATTCCTAGTGACCCTGTAGGACAGGGTAAAACTGCCCCCGTGGGTTTTCCAGACTGTAACTCTTAACAGAAGTAGAAAGCTTCATCTGGTTTCAAACTGCTGACTTTAGCTGAACAGCCAAATGCATAACTGCTGTGCCACCAGGGCTCAACATAAAAGAAAAATCCTTACCACTGGACCAATAAGCAACACCACGATAAACAGAGAAAATAGAGAAGTGGCCAAGGATTTCATTTTGCATCAATCCAATACCCATGAAATAAGCAGTCAAGATGTCTAATGTACTCTGTTGGGCTACAGAATCTCTCTTTAACGTGATACAAAGTAAAGATGTCACTGAAGATTAAGGTGCGCCTGACCCAAGTTATGAAAATCTGGACAGTAAATAAGGGAGACTGGAGATGAATTGGCGTCCTTGAATTCTGGTGTTTGTGAAGAAGATTGAATATACTACGGTAGTCAGAAGAACGAATGGCTTTGCCCTGGAAGAGGCAAGTCTAGAATGTACCAGAGAAGCAGTGATGAGGGGACTTTTCTCACGTACTTTGGACTTGTTTTCCGGAGGGACCAATCTCTGGAGAACATCATTCTTGGTAAAGTAGAGGGTCAGTGGAAAAGAGGAATATCTTTTTTTTTTTGAAGACCAAATGATAAGTTAAAAAAATTTTTTTTAGGTGTACATAGGTGCTTGACTCAATGGATGTATGTATGGACTGATAAGAAATGTACGAGCCCTCAATAAAATAATTAAAAAAAAAAGAACAATGAGGGTAACAAATGTCCAAATGTCCAAATGTGCTTTATACAATGGATGTATGTATGGATTGTGATGAGTTGTATGAGCCCCCAATTTAAAAAAAGAGTACAAAAACAAAAAAAATTTTTTTACTTGTACAATACTTGCATTTATTTCACATAGTACTGTTTGTGTTGGCAATAGAAATGAAAAGGCATTGGATAGAACTCAGTAAGGAGGAATATCCTTAGTGAAGTAGATTGACTACAAACAAGGAATGATTGTGAGGAGGTCACAGGACTATGCTGTGTCTCGTTCTGTTGTGCAGGGAGTGAGTTGGAACTGACTTGATGGCCCCTCGCAAAAAAACGCCAACCCCGTCTAGGTCAAATGTGCCTACTCAGAGTCTGCTGATTTCATATAAAAGCTCTGCCTGCAAATTATTATTTTTAAAAAGCAAGTATATTTATTGATTTTTATATTAAGTTAACCTGTATCAGATACTTTTTGATCATTTTTTTGGAGAAAAAGGTCAGTGAGGGGGTTAAATTGGTCAATTTCAAAATGTAATGGATATTGAATTTTACTGATTCTACCTACATGTGATCTGAGAGAACTTGTTTTCCTTGTGACATAGGACTTTCCACTGGACTTGTATACAGACAGCTTCTTTACAAGCAGAAGGCCGGCCATCGAAGCTCGACTACAGCTTATTCATGCTGCTGATGCCCCAACCCTATGTTCCTGGCTGGCAGCTGCATGGCAGGCTCAAGAAGGCAGAGTAGCTTCCATAGTCAACTGGAACCGTTTTGCTTCTCTTCAGCAAGCTCAGGTAAAAGCAGTTGTTTGCTGCATAGTACATTTGCTCAAAAAGTAATACACCCCAAATACATGTGGGTGTCTTTATGGGAGCTATCAAAATATGCATGTGTGTGTGTATTCTATCACACACCCATAACTGAGGGAGCTTTAAAAATTTTTGGAAACGCAGAATTATAAGATAATGCAATTTTCCCATGAAATGAAAAAAATCCTTTGTGCTAATCTCCCCCGTCTCTTACCTTCCGCAGCCCAGGTGCTGCTATATGTGATGGGAACATGTTAGGACACAAAACCTAGACATGGTTTTCCCATCCCTCGGATAACAACTTTCTTTTGCCTCTTCTGCAGTCCGTAGAGAAGAAGACACTTGCCCCGCCCCGATAACTGTCAGGTCTCTGTGAGTCATCACTGTTGTAACTCTTGAGGACTCACTCCAGGCTCCTTCCTAGTGTCTTCTCAGAATTGTCCTCACAGGACAGACAGATGATAAATGGCCAAAGGAAAACTAGTAGCATTTTCTGTGGTGAGTTTTCGTTGATTTTCGTCCCAGCACAAGAACCAAAACAACCTCTGGTTTACTTGGAACAGATATGTTTTTCTCACCCACTGAGTTTTTGTCTCTCTTCATGATTACTGGGATATATTTCTGAGCATCATTAAGGAGAGAAATGGCTACATGTCCATGTGTTCTCTGTTTAGGATCTTGTTTCCTGCTTAGGCGGCCATGTCCTCAGCAGTGTGTTTAGGCAGTTGGCTACTGACTTCCGACATTGCCGAGGTGGCCTCCCTGACCTGGTGGTATGGAACTCCCAGAATCATCACTTTAAGGTCAGTTGGCCCATACTGGGAAATCATATTTGTAATTTTACCAACAGCCTACTCCGAGTTCACACGTAGGTAATTTTTAAGTGGTCGGCTGTGGGCAAGATTCATTTCCTTGTGAAGCCGCTGTTTGACTGAAGGCATTTGTTCTGTGCTGGCTGTGGGCTGGAGTCCACTGCTAGTTTCTTGCCTTGCGGGCC